TTTATAAATGTCAAATTTGATAAACTGAAAAATCGAAAATTTGAAAAAACGACAGTTGAAAAACGGAAAATCCAAAATCGATAGATTAAGAAATCAAAACATTTGAAAAAATCGAAAACTTGAAAAACTGAAATGAAAAATGGAGAAATCGAGAAATCTAAAATTTAGAATCGAAGAATTTTTTGTGGATTTTTAGACAGCTTTTTCAAAGTGAAATTTATTCTATGTAGTTTATTCAAATTTTGACAGATTTTCGACCATTTTTGAAACTTTACTAAACACATTTTCTTTGGATTTCGACCTCAGCAAGTCACTTCCGGCCTCGTTTTTTCGTCAACTCCAATTCTTTTTCCAAATTCGCCCATTGAAATTTCCCAATTTTCATAATTTTTAAAAAATTTGACTTTCAAGCCGAATATTTCGCAAATATTGCTTAGGGACCATAAACACGCTATATTTTTGGAATCAGTATATCGCAGAATTTTTTGTGGATTTTTAGACAACTTTTTCAAAATGAAATTTATTGTAGTTTATTCAAATTCTGACCCATTTTCGACCATTTTTGAAACTTAACAAACACATTTTCTTGTAGATTTCGACCTCCAGAAGTCACTTCCGACCTCATACTTTCGATAACTCTAATTCTTTGTCCTGATTCGCCCGAATTTGTCTTTCAAACGGAATCTTTTGAAAATATTGCTTCGGGACCGTAAAAATGCTACATTTTTGGAATCAGCATCTGGCAGAATTTTTTGTGGATTTTTAGATAACTTTTTCAAAATGAAATATAATTGTGTTTATTCAAATTTTGACTTATTTTCAACCAGTTTTGAGACTTGGCTAAATACATTTTCTTGTTCGATTTCGAGGTCCAGAAGTTGCTCCAAGCATTTTTTGCATAATCGCTGATTGGAATGTCGCAATTTTAATTTTTTTTTTTTTAAGATTTGACGTTCAAACCGAATATTTTGAAAATCCGAGATCTGTATCCTAGATTTTTTTCCGATCATATGTTAATATCATTCATGTTTGAAATCTAGTAGGCTGCGGATTTTGTTTGTAAAATATTGAAAAATTAAAATACCAAAAAATTGAGAATTCTAAAATTTAAAAATCGAAAAAGTAAAAAGTCGACACAATGAAAAATCCAGAAGTCAAAAATGGAAAAATCGAAGAACAGAAATATCGAAAAATCCCAAAACTGAAACATCGAAAAACTGAAAAATGAATGAAAAACTGACGAATCGAAAAACTGAAAAATCCGAAAACTGGAATATCCAAAAACTGAGAATCTAAAGAATCGAAAAATTGAAAAATCGAAGAAGTAAAAAGGTAGACACATCGAAAAATCCAGAAGTCAAAAATAGAAAAGTCGAAGAATTGAAATATTGAAAAATCCTAAAACTGAAAAATCGAAAAATCAAAAAAGTGAAGTCGAAACATAGAAACCTTAAAAATCGAAAAATCAAAAACCTAAAAAATTAAAGAAAATCGAAACACTCGAAGGTCAAGAAATCGGGAAATCAAAACATCGATTAATTGAAAAATCGAAAAACTGACAGTTTATAAAAGTCAAATTTGAAAAATTAGAAAATCGGAAATTTCACAAAATGACAATTGAAAACAATCTAAAACCGGGAAGTCGAAAAATCAAACGATTAAGAAATCGAAACATTTGAAAAATTCGAAAACTTGAAAAATTGAAATATCGAAGAACTGAAATGAAAAATCGAGAAATCGAAAAATCTAAAATTTTAAAAATTAAAAAATCGAAAAATTAAAAATCGAAAAATTAAAAATCGAAAAATTTAAAAGGACAATTGAAAACAGAAAATCTAAAACCGCGAAGTCGAAAAATCGAAAGATTAAGCAATCGAAAAATTGAAAAATCGAAAAAGTAAAAAAATCGACACATCGAAGACTCCAGAAGCCAAAAATCGAGAAGTCGAAGAATCGAAATATTGAAAAATCCCAAAACTGAAATATCGAAAAACTGAAAAATGAAAGAAAGACTGAAAAATGGAAAACTTGAAAAATCCGAAAATTAAAGTATTGAAAAACTGAGAACCTAAAAAGTCGAAAAATTGAGCAATAGAAAAATCCAAAAAGTGAAGTCGAAAAATTGAAACCTTAACAAAATTAAAAAATAAAAAATCAAAAACCTGAAAAATCGTAAAACCGAAACACTGAAAAATCGAAATATCAAAGAACTGAAAATCGAAAAAATGTAAAATTTAAAAATCGAATAACGAAAAATCGAGAAATTGAAACTCCCATATTTAGATAATCGGATAACTGAAAAATCGAAAGATCGAAAAACTGGAAAATCGAAAAATCAAAAGAGCAAGAAATCGTGGAGTCGAAAAGTCGAACAATTGAGAAAACTTGGAAAAATTGAAATATCAAAGAAATATCGAAGACCTGAAATGAAAAATCGGGAAATCAAAAAATCTAAAATTTTAAAAATTAAAAAATCTAAAATTTAAAAATCGACAAATTGAAAAATCGAAAAAGTAAAAAAATCGACACATCGAAAAATCCACGAGTCAAAAATCGAAAAGTCGAAGAATCGAAATATTGAAAAATCCCAAAACTGAATTATCGAAAAACTACAAAATGAAAGAAAGACAGAAAAATGGAAAACCTGAAAAATCCGAAAACTGAAATATCCAAAAACTGGGAACCTAAAAAGTCGAAAAATTGAGCAATAGAAAAATCCAAAAAGTGAAGTAGAAAAATTGAAACCTGAAAAAAATTGAAAAATAAATAAATCAAAAACCTGAAAAATCGAAAAATTAAAGAATTGAAGAACAGGAATATCGAAACCCTCGAAAGTCAAGAAATGGGAAAATCAAAACATCGATTAATTGAAAAATCGAAAAATTGACAGTTTATAAATGTCAAATTTGAAAAATTGAAAAGTGGAAAACTTGAAAAAATGACAACTGAAAAACAGAAAATCTAAAACCGGGAAGTCAAAAAATCGATAGATTAAGAAATCGAAACATTTGAAAAATTCGAAAACTTGAAAAACTGAAATTTGTAAGAACTGAAATGAAAAATCGAGAAATCGAAAAATCTAAAATTTTAAATAATTGAAAAATTAAAATATCAAAAAACTGAAAAATCTAAAATTTAAAAATCGAAAAATTGAGAAAACGACAATTGAAAAAACAGAAAACCTAAAACCGGGAAGTCGAAAAATCGAAAGATTAAGAAATCGAAACATTTGAAAAATTGAAATATGGAAGAGCTGAAATGAAAAATCGAGAAATCGAAAAATCAAAAATTTTAAATATTGAAAAATTAAAATACCAAAAAATTGAGAAATCTAAAATTTAAAAATCGAAAAAGTAAAAAGTCGACACATCGAAAAATCCAAAAGTCAAAAATGGAAAAGTCGAAGAACAAACATATTGAAAAATCCCAAAACTGAAATACCGAAAAACTGAAAAATCCCAAAACTGAAATGTCCAAAAACTGAGAAATTAAAAAATTGATAAATAGAAAAATTGAAAAACCAAAAAACCTGAAAAATCAATTGATTGAAAAATCGAAAAATTGAGAGTTTATAAAATTCAAATTTGAAAAATTAGAAAATCGAAAATTTGACAAAATGACAATTGAAAAACTGAAAATCTAAAACCGGGAAGTCGAAAAATCGGAAGATTAAGCAATCGAAAAGTCAAAGAATCGAAATATTGAAAAATCCCAAAACTGAAATATCCAAAAACTGAGAACCTGAAAAGTCGAAAAATTGTGCAACCGAAAAATCCAAAAAGTAAAGTCGAAAAATTGATTAATTGAAAAATTGAAAAATTGACAGTTTATAAATGTCAAATTTGAAAAATTGAAAAATCGAAAATTTGAAAAACGACAGTTGAAAAACGGAAAATCCAAAACCGGGAAGTCGAAAAATCGATAGATTAAGAAATCAAAACATTTGAAAAATTCTAAAACTTGAAAAACTGAAATATCGAAGAACAGAAATGAAAAATCGAGAAATCTAAAATTTAAAATATTGAAAAATTAAAATACCAAAAAATTGAGAAAACTAAAATTTAAAAATCGAAAAAGTAAAAAGTCGACACATGGAAAAATCCAGAAGTGAAAAATGGAAAAGTTGAAGAACGGAAATATTGAAAAATCCCAAAACTGAAATATCGAAAACTGAAAAATTAATGAAAAACTGACGAATCGAAAAACTGAAAAATCCCAAAACTGAAATATCCAAAAACTGAGAATATAAAGAATCGAAAAATTGAGAATCAAAAAAGTGAAGTCGGAATATCGAAACCTTAAAAAAAATCGAAAAATTGAAAAATTAAAAACCTGCAAAATCGTATGATCGAAAAATTGAATAATAAGTAAACTGAAAAATCCCAAAACTGAAATGTCCAAAAACTAAGAAATTAAAAAATTGAAAAATTGAGAAATCGAAAAATCAAAAAAGTGAAGTTGAAAAATCAATTAATTAAAAAATCGAAATATTTAAAAATCGTAAAATTGAATAGAAAAACTGAAAACCGAGAAATTGAAAAATTGAGAAATCGTAAAATCCAAAAATTGAAAAATAAATAGGAGTAAACTGAAAAGTCCCCAAACTAAAATTTCGAAAAACTGCGAATTCGAAAGTCGAAACAGCAGAAATTATGGTGGAAACCGGTTAGGATGTGTATCAGATCACGGATCATGGCTTATAAATCAAATCGTTTCCGAGCGCTTAGAGTCGACATTGGCCTGAGTGCGCTCTGGTCTGTAGATCAAACAAGTCCTCAGACGACGAACTGTAATTCGTGTGACCTGAATTAAAGTGAAGGAAACAGTAAGCAGCTTGTAATATTCTGGTAAATCTAGCGTCAATTTGTCGAAAGTAAAACGCGTCATTAAAAATATTGACATTTTTTTTAGTTAATTTCGAATACCAACAAACTCCCTAGATTTTCATGGCCAACCCTACTATATAAAGATCGTGAACGGACAATAGACTTAGTAGTTACCCCGAAGTGCCTCATCGTGTGCTTCCGCAGACAATTCCGGTCGGCAGTCTTGTAGTCGCAGTACGAGCACTGAAACGGCTTGTCCCCCGTGTGCTGCCTATGGTGCAGCTGCAGCATCTCCTTCCGCGCCGTCTGGTGCCCGCAAATATTACAAATAAACGGCTTGAACTTATCATGAACGAACTTGATGTGCTTCTTCAAGCACTTCGAATTGGCGAAAAACCGGTCGCAGAACTCGCACTGCTTCTGCGTCGCCGACGTGGGGGCCTCGTCGGGCGCCATATGCGTGACCTCGTGCGTCCTCAGCTGATTCATCTGCTTGAAAGTCTTCCCGCAGGCGGCGCACACGAACGGCTTCTCCTCGCTATGGATGGCCATGTGGTTGATCACGCGCACTGAAACTGCGCATGAGCGACTTAAGCCACAAGCGACTATCATTACCTGCGCTGTACGACTTGAACTCGTTGCACATGGGGCACGTGAGCAGCCCCAGGTCGATAGCGTGGCACTTCCACATGTGCATGCTACAAATGCGCCAAATCGAAAATTTTAGTTTACACACGGGACACATGAACTGCTTTTTGTTTTGGTCGACGTGGCAGTCTTCATGGCGCTTGCGCGACTCTTCCTTGTCGAAGCGAAGGGGGCACCCTTTGATCGAACACTTCACTTTGCGCATGGCTTTTTGCTGTTTGACGAGGTTGGCAGAGACGGTTTTGGTCAAGGATTTTTGCGGGGGTTCGTCTACGGGGGGCTTGTCGGGGGTCGAAAGGGGCACGTGGACCAACTTGTGCTGCTGAAAACGAAGCGCTGTTAATTTGGACCGTTGGTTCCAGACGAGGGGTTAGTCACTGTGGAATTAGGTTGTACAATCGTACGCAAATGTTTTGAGCCTATGGGCGGATCGTTTTTGCCTGCCCTCACCGAAGAAGGCGGTCCAAATCCTTCAAGGGCAGAATTTGTAGGTAGGCTCAAACTACAACGAAATTTACATTTGGTAAGAAATATTTATGGCTCACACCAGTTCTCTCGAATTTGTCGCAGAAGATTTAGCAGGTAGTTGTTCCCATAAAATAATGGTCACTTTCGGTCGTGAGTAACGATTGTCCGGACAGGAATTATTTTGCTTTCTAACATCTTTCGACCAATTGTTCCGTATAAAAAATTTCATCACTTTTTCCAATAAAATACTCTTAAATGTTCATAATAAATAAATAAATAAAAAAAAACGATATTGTCGAGTGTCCCCTCTAAAAAATTTATGACGTCACCTCAAAATCTTGCAGAATAAATCCTATCTTAAATGTATAAAATATGATGAGTTTTTATACTTTTGATTTATCACTGCATTAATATTTTTTAGATTTGGTTATACAGGGTGTCTCAAAAAAGTTAATGACTGAGTCAATTTATTTTATTGAAGAAATCAAGAATAGCAAAATTGAATACTTTGAAATATTGTAGATGTTTTGAAGTTTTTGTAAGCATGGTAACTTTTTCGAAAATTTGATTAATATGCGCAAAATCAAAAATCGGAAAAAATGAAATTCACAAATGCAAAAAACAGAAAATCGAAAAATACGAATCGTAAAAATCAAAAAAATAAAATGGCTAATCAAAAAATCGAAAATTCAATGAATCAAATACCTAGGTCGATCGAAAAGTGGAAATTCACAAACCTCAAAAATCGAAAAATCGAAAATTGAAAAACGGGAAAACCAAAAAATCGAAAAGTAATATTGAAAATTAAAAAAATCAAAAACAAAAATAAAAAATTGGTCTAAAGAGTTTAGACAGTACTTCCCTCGCTGTCGGAAACTTGACGACTGCATGCCTATTGTGTTTTTTTCTCATTACATTTTTGTAGTGGGAATTTAAAAAAAAAATGCGATGACGTCATCAACATTTTTGCAAGGACACGTATATCAGTTGGGATAGATGTAGTGTAATACTAAGAATAAAATTATTATATTCTCAAATTTTCGGGAAAATGAATTGGGTCGTTTGAATATTGATTTGTAATAATCAATAAAATAACGAAACAATTTACTCACGTATACCTACGTATCAGAGGCAACTGAAAATCGTGTATGTATAAACATTGTTAATTTAAGATGACAGGCGTAACAGCATACGTGAGAGCCAAACACAGAAACTGTAAGCAAAACGACCGTCGGTTTTATTGCTTCGACTTCCGCTTATTATATAAAACATTGGGTTTTATTTTAATTCTTGACGGTGAAATTCACAATTGGTTGATTATAAACATGTCTATTTCACATTCGCGGAATCAAGTGAACGCATAAAACAAATGCAGGTCTGTAATGTTAAAGTCGATGTAAATAAGCGTGCTACCCTTATGTTTCAACCGAGTTTTTCCTTTAACAAATTTTGTGTCTACCAAATTGGGTTGGTTGGGGTGTAATACTAATAATAAGTGTTGCCTTTAATTTAATCAATAAAATAAATTGACTTCATTAATTTTTTTAAACCACCTCTTAAGAAAATCTAAAAAATATGAATGGAATGATAAATCACAAGTACAAACTCATCATATTTTTTGCATTTTAGATAGGATTTATTCAGCAAAATTTAAGGGTGACGTCATCAATTTTTTTAGGAGGGATGAACAAATACATTTTGAACAAAAGTTTACCATGCTTATAATAACTTTAAAATACTCCCAAGATTTCAAAGCATTCGGTTTTGTAATTCCTGATTAAATCGATAAAATAAATTCACGCCTTCATTAATTTTTTTGAGTCACCCTGCATATGCAAATCCAAAAATATGAATGGAATGATAAATCACAAGTACAGACTCATCATATTTTGTACATTTTAGATACGATTTATTCGGAAAACTTTTGAGCTGACGTCATCAGTTTTTTGTAGAAGATAACCAAATATATTTTGACTAAAAATTTATTATGCTCTTTATAACCTTAAAACATCTGCAAGATTTCAAAGCATTCGGTTTTGTAGTTCCTGATTAAATCAATAAAATAAATTTACGCATTCATTAATTTTTTTGAGTCACTCTGTATATGCAAATCCAAAAAATATGAATGGAGTGATAAATGACAAGTACAGGCTCATCATATTTTGTACATTTTAGATATGATTTATTCGGCAAACTTTCGAGCTGACGTCATCAAGTTTTTGGAGGGGATAAGCAAATATATTTTGACTAAACATTTATTATGCTCTTTATGACCTTAAAACATCTGCAAGATTTCAGAGCATTCGGTTTTGTAGTTCCTGATTAAATCAATAAAATATATTTACGCATTCATTAATTTTTTTGAGTCACCCTGTATATGCAAATCCAAAAAATATTAATGGAGTGATAGTTCACAAGTACAGACTCATCATATTTTGTACATTTTAGATATGATTTATTCCACAAACTTTTGAGCTGACGTCATCAAGTTTTTGGAGGGGATAAGCAAATATTTTTTGACTAAAGATTTATGATGCTCTTTATAGCCTTAAAACATCTGCAACATTTCAAAGCATTCTGGTTAGCAGATTAAAAATTAAATTTCAAAATGTTGTTTTATAATTTTGATTTTTTTTCCAAAAATCTGGACGTTTCGGGTGAAAAGTCGATTCAGAGTTGTAAACTACATGTGTAGGACTATGTTATTTTATACAATTGAAAACCCATTTACTATGTACAATTTTGAAGTGACGTCATCGCTTTAGTGGTGGGGATGATTCGACAAATTTTGGTTAGCGTTTTACCATCTACATGATATTCTTAATATAAGTACAAAATTTCACAACAATCGGTCGAGTACTTTCGGAGATTATCTGTCTAATAAAAATCCGTGACAACAGACGGACAGACGGACAGACGGACAGACGGACGGACAGACGGACGGACAGACGGACAGACGGACGGACAGACGGACAGACAGACGGAAATGGGAGACCTATTTCTTCGTCTTCTAGGGGTCATGAAAGATCGAGAAAACGTAAAAGTAGAGAGTCGGCCGACGGACTCGATTACAATACTTCCTTTGCTTACGCTCGGGAAGTAAAAAATCGGAAATTAAAATAATCAATATATATGAAGTAGAAAAAATTGCAAAGCCTAAAAACTGAAACGAACAGAAAAATCGAAAAAGCAAAAAATTGGAAAAACAAAAATCCGAAAAATCGAAAATCGAAAATCTGAATAAAGAAACTTGGAAATTCTGAAAATTGGAAAATCGACAACCAAAAAATCGGGAAGTAACAAAATTGAAGTCTAACAGTTGAGAATAGAAAAATTGAAAAACCGAAAATTATAAAAATCGACAATGGACAAATTGAAAATCGCAAAATTTAAATTGAAAAATTGAACATGGAAAAATCGATGAATTGAAAAATCGAAAATTCGACTACTCAAATTTTCTAAAAATCGAAAAATCATAACACTGAAAAATCCAAAATTCTAATGATCGAAAGTCTGAAAACTGAAAATCGAAAATTCTGAAAAGCGGAAAATAGAATATCGAAAAATTTAAAAGAAAGAAAATTGAAGTCTAAAAACCGAAGAATGGAAAAATTAAAAATCAAAAATTCGAAAAATCAAAACCGAAAAATTCAAAGATTTAAAAAGAAAATCGAAAAATCAAAAATCTGAAAATTGAAACTGAAAAATCGAAAAGCCGAAAAATCGAAAATTTGATAAATCAGATATGCGAAAAACAGAAAATCTGAAAATACAAAACTGGAAAATCAAAAATCTAAAATTGGAAAAACCGAAAATCGAAAATTCAATGAATCTAATACGTAGGTCGATCGAAAAACTGGAAATTCACAAATCTGAAAAATCGAAACTTTGCAAGATTGAAAAAACGAGAATTGAAAAATCAAAAAACCGAAAAATGGAAAAATCAAAAATCGAAAAATAGGAAAACCGAAAATTCGAAAATTCATAATATTGAAAACTCTAAAAGTCGACAATTCAAAAATCAAAAAATTGGAAAGTAAAATAATCGAAAAATCGAAAAGTAAACAAATTGCAAAGCCTAAAAACTGACGAATAGAAAAATCGAAAAAGCGTAAAATCAAAAAGTGGAAAATCGAAAACTGGAAATTGAAAAATCGAAGATTGGAAAATCGAAAAATCGAAAATCGGAATATCGAGAATCGACAAATTAAAAAACCGAAAAATCGAAAAATTAAAAATCGGAAATCGAAAAATGAAAAAAAAAAACAAAATTCAAAAATCGAATAATCCAAAACTAAAACAATAGAAAAGTGGAAAAGTAAAAATTGCAAAGTCTCAAAACTGACGAACAGAAAAATCGAAAAATCAAAAAAAATCGAAAAATATCTAAATATGGAAAATCGGAAAATGGAAAAACAGAAAAATCGAAAACTCGAAAAATCGAAAATTCGATGAAACAAATACTCGAAAAAGCGAAAAGTAAAAAAAATTGCAAGGCCTAAAAATTGAAAAATCAAAAAATCGGAAAAATGACAATCGAAAAAACGACGATCGAAAAAAAAATAAAAAAATCGAAAAGTGGAAAATCGGAAAGTAACAAAATTGAAATCTAAAAGCTGAAGAAGGGAAAATTCTACAAAGCAGCAATCGAAAAAAGCAAAATTAAAAATTGAAAATTTGAAAAATGGAAAATAGAAAACTCGAATATCGAGATTTTGAAAAATCGTAAAATTGATAATCGAAAAATCGAAATGCTCAAAAATCGAAAATTCGATTAATCAATATTCTAAAAATCGAAAAAACGGACACAAATCCACAAATTTGAAAAATCGAAAATCGAAATATGAAAAATTAAAAAACCGAAAAATTGAAAAATCCCAAATCGAAAAATGGAAAAACCGAAAATTCAAAAATCAAACTATCGGAAAGTAAAACAATCGAAAAATGGAAAAATAAAACAAATTGCAGAACCATAAAAACTGAAACAAACAGAAAAATCTAAAAACCACAAAAGAGGAAAAACGAAAATCGAAAAATCGCAAATCGAAAAATCGTAAAATCAGAAAATGGAAAATCGAATAATCGAAAAATCGAAGGTCGAAAAATAAAACAACCGAAAAATGGAAAATTTAATGATTAATGGAAAATCGAAAAATCGAGAATAGAAGAATTAAAAAACCGGAAAATTGAAAAATCGAGAATTCAAAAATCAAAAAAATCGGAAAGTAAAATATAATCGAAAAATGCAAAAAAATTGCAAACTCTGAAAGCTGACGAACAGAAAAATCCAAAAATCTAAAAATGGAAAGACGAAAAATCGAAAAACGAAAAAATTGAAAACTCGAAAATTCAAAATACCGCAAACTTGAAAAATCAGAAAATTGGAAAGTAATAAAATCGAAAAGTTGATAGAAAAATGGAAACTTGAAAATCTAATTCGATGAAACTGTTGGTCGAAAAAACGAAAAATCGAAAATCGAAGTGACCTTTTTTTGAGACAGGCTGTATAAGTAAATCTAAAAAATATTACTGCAATGATAAATCACAGGTATAGACTCATCATATCAAATTTTACGATGACGTCATGCATTTTTTGGCGAAGATAAGCAAATACATTTTGATCGTGGCTTTGAAGTATTCTTCGACTTTCGTTCAATTTCAAAATTACTCTTTGTATATTTCAGTGGTCACAACGAGTTCACTAACTACGCTGAAGTATGCAAAGATTAAATTTGTCACCGAAAAGATGTCGGAAGGTAATAAATTATCCTATCGGTCGAAGAACGTTCGATCCGGTGTTACACCTCGACCCAAGAGAGACCGCAGTAAAGGATAACAAATGAAACGGATAAAGTAAAGCGTCAAACATGATTAATAAACTTTAAACCAAAATTATGAAGTTTATAAACTGAACATTTTTTTTGCTTTTTGAAATGTAATACACTTCAAAAAATGTTCGTGACTTACTTTAATGTGAATTTTATAACTATGGTCGGCACAATTAGACCTAATATTAGTGTGATTTTGAGCATATTCTCGATGTTACTAGAGCAGGACAACTAATTGATAAGATTTCTATGTATTCAGTTTTGCAATTCTTGATTTCTTTAATAAAATAAATTGACTCAGTCATTTTTTTTTTGACTCACCCTGTATGTATAAATAAATCCAAAAAATATTAATGGAATGGTAAATCAAAAAGTATAGACTCATCATATTCTGAACATTTTAGATAGGGTATTTATAAAATTAAAACTAATTCAGAGTAAGTATTTATAAAATTAAAACTAATTCAGGGTAAGAATTTGGTCAACACGTAAATTTCGTTGTAGTTTGAGCCTACCTACAAATTCTGCCCTTGGACGATTTGGACCGCCTCCTTCGGTGACGACAGGCAAAAATGATCCGCCCATAGGCTCAAAACATTTGCGTGCGATTGTACACTGTCACTGGAATTAGGGAATTGAAATGTGGAATTAAGTGGAATTGATGGAATTATGGTGGAATTATTTGGAATTGGAATTAAACAAAAATTTAAAACCGATTTATTCGGCAAACTTTTGAGCTGACGTCATCAAGTTTTTGGAGGGGATAACCAAATATATTTTGACTAAAAATTTATGATGCTCTTTAGAGCCTTAAAACATCTGCAACATTTCAAAACATTCGGGTTAGCAGATTCAAAATTAAATTGCAAAATGTTGTTTTATAATTTTGATTTTTTTTCCAAAAATCTGGACGTTTCGAAGTTGTAAACTACATGTGTAGGACTATAGTTATTTTATACAATTTAAGACCCATTTACTATGTACAATTTTGAAGTGACGTCATCGCATTAGTGGTGGGGATGATTAGACAAATTTTGGTTAGCGTTTTACCATCTACATGATATTCCTAATATAAGTACAAAATTTCACAACAATCGGTCGAGTACTTTCGGAGATTATCTGTCTAATAAAAATCCGGGACGGCAGACAGACGGAAATGGGAGACCTATTTCTTCGTCTTCTAGGGGTCATGAAAGATCGAGAAAACGTAAAAGTAGAGAGTCGGCCGACGGACTCGATTACAATACTTCCTTTGCTTACGCTCGGGAAGTACAAATATTAAGAAAATTATAAATACAAATTCAATTTCTTATTTTTAAAATGTCGCGATAATATTGTTGACGTAACGATGATCTTACACACGAGTGCTCACGAGGTTAAACGAATGAGACGGAAACAGTGGAATTGAAGGCATTTTTTTTGGAATTGGTGGAATTTTTTGTGATTAGGGTGGAATTTATGGAATTTTTGGCATTAGACTGGAATTATCGGCGGAAGTATTGGCATTACAGTGGAATTGGTGGATTTTTTTCAAAATGGAATTGCAATTAGGTTGTTCGTTATTTTGGCCTAGTGACCAACCCCTCGGTTCCTGACTTACTGAAATCATGTGCTGGCGCAAATCCTCCTTGTTTGAATAGCCATTGCCGCAGTCGCTACATAAGTACAAAGTATACTTTTTATCCTTATTTACATTTAAAATAGAGGTCATTTTGGTACCAACTAGGTCTACGTTATTCACTTGTCCGTTGATAATGTTCCCGTTATTTTGATGGACCTGCAATTCAAACTAAATTACACAAGCTGGATTATTTATTACCAATTAGTACCTCTTTGTGGTGTTTTACTCTAATATGAGTAACAATATCATCCACACTTTCACACAAAAATGAACACAATTTACACTTATTAGCTTGAGTTTGTGTATAAAAATTTTCTATATTATTTGTCTTGTCTTTAAGTGAGTCTTTTTTAATAGTCATAATTGTGCCATCTATGTTTAGTAATTGGATAAACTCGACGTTGTCGTCGGCTTCGCTGAATTCACCCCGCCCCTCGTGCTCATACGTGATCGAATATCCATCATCATTAATCACATGAGTGACCACATTTTCTTCATTTTTGTCCTCAGCTGTGGCCACCTTCAACAAAACGTCGTTCGAAACAAGGAGCCCGTTTTTATCCACGTTCGAAAGAAACGTGACTTTGTTGCCTTCATTTGTCCCAATATTAGTACTATTTTCGCTTTCCTCAGCCAGTAGCTGAATGTTGGTGTTCGTGCCTGCGTCGTTATTTTCTGAAACACTTAAATTAGCGCCCCCCTTAAGACTTAGTAGGTTATACCATCTGTTATCAAGGAACCGCTTAAAAGTATGGGGAGGCCTTCCGGCGGCCAGTCTGACGTAATTTCGGTGAAAATGGGTTCCACTGGAAAGGCATCGTTAAGTCCGTCTTCGCTGCTGTGTAACAAGTAATTGTGGGGACCCTCGCTGAAAAGTTTCAAATATGCGGTTGATTCATCCTCAGGGTCCATGGTAAAACAGACGGGTTAACTGATCATTTCGGGCTAAAAATCACGATTATTGTAAGAGCGACTGATGTTAAAATTGCAAAATCAAAAATGACGTAACCTCACTTTTGAAAAAAATTTGATTAGGAGTGGATTGTGGATTTTAGTGGGGTGCCACGATAAGAGTTTGTGTAAACATTACTTACGTAGGTTAGTAGATTTATAGTGATGGGGGGATATGGCCAAAAGAAGCTGTTTTGTGTTTGAACTGTCAACAATTACATAACCTCACTTTCAAAAGAAAAAACCACGAACGAGATTTGCACTTGGTTATCGATTGTAGTTTAGTTTCAGTGGGTTAAACTTACTCACGCTTGCCTACGTTTCGAGTTACTTAAAGCCGATCAGTTTTTGAAACACGAACTTTGAGGTTATGTCGTCACAGTTTGGAATCGAAAAATGCAAAAAACTAGTCAACTTCTTAATAATTTATAAATTTATTAATAATCCAGACAAGCAAAACACCCTCTGGCTTGTTCCGCTTCAACATTGACATCACAGCAACAACTCCAACATTGCTAACCTAAATCTAACTAAAACGCACTGGTCAATAATCACAGGACCCGTCCTTCCACCCATCCCGCCACCGTTCGTCGACTTTCGAACAATCAAACTCCGGCTTCCCCAACTTAACGTTAACTTTATTGTGGGCGCGACACAGCCACTGACTCAGCTCTTCATAGCAGCTCGTGGGCGGCGGATCCACCTGGATGCTACAACAACAACACATTACAAAACATCGTTCTCCCCAAAACCCGCCCCGAACTCACTGTCTCTGAAAATCCTCGGCGCAGTAATCGCACGGATAAAACTTCGAGAACAGGTGGAAAAACGCGCTCATGTCTCTCTGCTCGCTGCGCGTGGGCTTGTCAGGGTACTTGGCCGCGATGGTGTGCAGCAGCCCCCACGCGCTGCGGCCCAGCTCCTCCTTGTCCAGGGGGCAGTCGGTGCGTAGGGACCCGCTCGGCGCCACCTGCAACGGCCGGTTATTGGGGTTAGGGCGAGTTGGCGCTTACTTCTCCGGAGCTGTCTTCGTGCGCCTTCCTGGCGCGCGCGGTTTTCGCGTAGTCCGAGAAGCTCGTGCACGAGCGACAGTTCTCTTGCTCCAGGTGCGACCGGCGTCTGGGCATCATTTTAAAAGCATCATTGGGTTTTGTTTTGGCTGCGTGACTGTAGTGGTGCCACAAATTGGTTAAGTTCGAAAGGGGGCCATGTGACATTCTGGGGTCTGTCAAATTTCATGAGTGGGAGAGAAGGAAGATGCGATTACGTGCGAGTTGGACGGAGATAGACATACAAATAGAAACGTCAAGAGTGACAAGTGACGTTTGCGTTGACAGATAGCTAGAGTACAAGAAGTTCAATAAACATGAATATTTTACCGAAAAAAAGGTAAGTTGGGTGTGTTTTTTTGTGAAAATTGACTAAAGTGTGTCGCGGTTTTAAGATGGCACGTCCGCTCCAAAGACAACATCGCGCGAGTGCGAAGAGATGAAGCGAAAGCCGCTGAAGAGGAGGCGGCACGCAAATCTCGGGCTAAACTCGCGGAAAGTGAAGCCAGAACCGAGTTATTGCGACAGAGGGCTAGGGGCGGTGTCGCTACTAACGAATTTATTCCGCTGACCAAAGATGAATCGGTGGCTCAAACCCACGTCAATTTTTTCCAGGACGTGGAAGACGGAATTGCAGACAGTAAAACAACCAACAAAGAACATGATAAAGAAGTCAAACAAGAGAAAGAAAAGTATGAGAAGCAAATCGGGTACTTGACGTACTTAGGGCAGGATACCAATGAAGCGTTAGGCAAAAGAAACTGGTATGAGGAGATGCCAGACAGGACAAATCGTGATGGGGCAGAAGTAGGACTAAAAACTAAAATCAGAGAAGACCCTCTAAGTGTAATGAAGAAATACATGGCAGAGGGAGACAGTCCAAAGAAAAGTGGAGATGTGGTACATCAAGCAGTTGCTTTGACCCTCAAAACTTTGCAGAAAAGAAAAAGGAGTAGTAGTGGAGAAACAAGCCCCCAGAAACACCACAAAAAAGATAAAAAAAAGCGGAAAAGAGTGTCTTCAAGTGACGACTCGGATGACGACAGACTTGAAAAGAAGCGAAAATTGGAGATTCTAAGATTGGAAAGACTGAAACGCGAGCGAGAAGAGCGAAAAAGGGCTGAAAGTCTCCTGGCGAAACTACGAGGCGACAAAGAAAAGAAAGAGGAAATTCCGCAAGTCACAAAAAAATACAACAACCAATTTAACCCAGAACTAGCTAAACAAAACTACAAATATTAAAATCCATTTATTACAAAACTACCTAGATTCTTAATTCATATATTTGGATGTACGCTTCCGTTAACGTGATCATCTGTGGCAAGATATCCGTCACGTGCAAATCCTGCATCTCATACCATTTCCCAGTGCTCTTCTGTAACACATGAACCCGATAAGTACCCTTTCCTGGCTCCCCATCATGCACAATATTAGCCACCAAATCGTAAATGGTGTGTTTGTGTTTAGCTTTAACCTCAGGCGTCAAAAACTCCCCAAAATCGACATTCCGCACCGGGAAATTCACAATAGTTGGATTTTTTTCCACATAGAACGTATTTTTCGTGAACCTCTTAATATACAAAATCAAGTATGGTGGAAGCCTCGTGATTTCAAACTTCTTCATAAAGTTCTCCTTGTACGTCTTATACTCTTTCTCACAACTACCATTGAATTTAGTCAACAACTGATATAAATTAACTTGGGGGATAATATTTTCCCGAAATTCGTCTATAAAGAGCGGCGGGGGCGGCAAATCGCACGTTAAATACAAAAACGGCGACTCTGTAACCACCTCCTGGTACTCAGGGGTGGCTAATAATGAACGCTTTTGTCTATCATCAAGCTCAGTTGGCGGGATTTTCCTAGTATAAATGCGCATGTTCCCCAAAAAAGCTTGATATATAATGGAGCTCCCTTTTTTCTTGGTACCATTAAGGGCACGGTGAAGGGCGTTCAAAAACCACGACAGGAAGTCAATGGGGTCCCCTTGTTGCGTGATCTGGAAGCGCTTTTTGCTCCACAAAACCACGGCTTGTAACATTTCATGGGGCGACACGTGGGCTTTGAAATTTCGCGGGTTCCACAATTTACGCATCAGCTCCCCATATCGTTGTACCAGTAAGTACGAAGAGTCACCAGGGGGCCGCTTTACTTTACTGTAGTTTTCTTCACGTAGAAAATAGTTGCGAAGAGGTACAACCCGCGACAACGCTTGTAGTACGACATTACAATAATCATTGGCTTTTATATTGTTTAAACCCACGATTCCAGGCATATACAACGAACCGTCTATAGCTCTAGACATACGCGTGCTATTATCAAGGTTGCTGATGTGTTTTTCTGTGAACGTCGGATTCAACAAATACTTGATGTCATCCAGAGACGAATCTGAAATTCCACGTGAAATTAAAATAATTATTACTCAATTTATTTTACCTATAATTTCATAATTGTCAGGCAGACAATAAAATTTCAAGGTGTGCAAGTTCAGAAAAACGTGGTGGCCTTCGGCTACTGAATGTGTGTACGCGTGGGTGTTCGTGCCCCTGCCTTGGAAGTACTTGCCGCAAACCAGGCACGCGTAGACGTTGATTCGGGTCAGAGAGACTGAGCACAACTTTTCAAAATCAAAGTCGAGGAATTGGCGATTGATTGTGTCAAGGTAGGGGCAAAGGCGGTTGGTTTTCACGTCCAGTTTGGTTTCTCCGGGTTCGGTTTTAAATTCGGGTTTCATCTCGTCGTCTGAAATCGTAGCGTTAACGGGGTTTTTGAGGTTAGGTTGCTCACCTTCAAGAGGATAGGCGTTGACGGAGAGTGGCTCCAGTTTTTGCTTTTTGCGAAGGGGCCCCGTGTCCGAATCCATGATTTTGGGGGGTTTGCATTGACTTTTAACGGCGAATGGGGCTGGAGATGAGGGCCGCTTTTAGGTTAAGCTTGTTGTTTGGTGACTTTTCTGTCATCAGGTATGCGTGCTACCAACCTAATTCCCCATGTATTTAATACGAATAGTCCGTGTTTAATGCTACGACGTCGGTGACCGAAACGTCTTAAACCAAGAATATTGTTTAAATCGTAATAACTAGAGCTGTGCGGTTCAAATTTATTTATCCCCACTATCCGTCCCATCAGGCCAGCAGTGCAGGCCGCTGCAGTCTTGCCTTCCTCGCTTCTCGCTTCTCATTGTGTATTATTTTACATAATTCACATCAATCGTTTTATTGTCAACGAGACCGACACTTGAACATTATTAAAATTATTATTCTTATTATTTCGTGGGTATGGATTTTAAAATCATCAACTGATTTTCAGTGAACATTATTTTTCGCGTAAATTTCTTCGCGATACGTAACATCGGCTGCGAGACACTGGTCTCCCGTAGTAGGGGTCGATTCGCAACGTTTAAATTTGGACCGCACAGCTCTAGTAATAACCCAATGGATTTTTTTCGGGAAAACGTTTTGGAAACACTGTGTTCTATTTTGTATGAATTTTTTTTTAATGTTTTTAGTGACAATTTTTATGGTTGTTCTCGATACACTGTATGATATTAACAGTGAGAAAAAAAAATGAACAATTAAAATAATCGAAAAATCGAGAAATCTAATCGAAAAATCGAAACCTTAAAAAATCGTAAAACCGAAACATTGCAAAATCGAAAATCGAAAAATGTAAAATTTAAAATCGGATAACTGAAAAATCGATCATTCGAACAATTGAGAAACCGAAAAGGGGTCAAAATCGAAAAATCGAACAGTTAAAAATTGAACAATTTATAAATTGAGAAACTGACAATCAAAATATCGAAAAATCCAAATCTCGGTAAATCGAGAAATCAAAAAACTTAAAAAGTCGAAAAATCGAAAAATTGAGAAATTTAAAAATTGAAAAATTAAAATATGGAAAAGTTGAAAAATTGAGAATTTGAAATATAAAACAATCGAAAAATTGAAAAATCAAAAGTATAAAAAACGAAAAATTGAAAATCCAAAAATAAAAAATCGAAAAATCTAGAAGTCGGACAATCAAAGAATCGAAATATTGAAAAATCTCAAAACTGAAACAAATATCCAAAAATTGAGAAATCGAAAAACCAATAAAGCGAAGTCGAAAAATCGAAACTTTGAGAAGTGGGAAAATCAAAAATAGATTAATTGAGAAATCAGAAAACTGAAAATTTAACGTCAAAATTTAGAAAGGTGGAAAATTTAAATAACGAAGAACTGAAAAGTCAAAAAATCGAGAAATCAAGAAAACTAAAATTTAACACATTTAATAAACAATTAAAATATCGCAGAATTGAAGAATCGAGAAATCCAATTCAATTTAAAAAATTGAAAAATCGGAACATTGAAAAATTGGAAAATCCAGAAATTGAAAAGCTCAAAAGTAAAAAATCGGAGGATCGAGAAATTGAGGAGTCGTAAGCCGAAAAGGAAAGTTAAAAATTGATAAATTGAGAAACTGAACAATCAAAACAACGAAACATCGGAATTCGATAAATTGAGAAATCAAAAAATTGAATAATCGAAAAATTTTAAAAAAGAAAAACTGGAAAATCGAAAATTAAAAATATAGAAGAATTGAAAACTCGAGATATCGAAAAACCTAGAATTTTAAAAAATGAAATATAAAAACATCTAAAAATTGAGAAATCGAAGTATAAAACAGTGGAAGAATTGAAAAATCTAAAGTTTAACAATAAATTGAAAATCCAAAAAGTAAAAAATCGAGAAATCAAAAAAATCCATCAATTCAAAAATCGAAAAGTCGAAAAATCGAAGTATTGAAAAATCTCACAACTAAAAGAAATATTCAAAAAATTGAGAAATTAAAAAATTGGAAAATTGAGAAATCGAAAACCTGAACAATCAAATCTCGATAAATCGGAAATGAAAAATTAACAAATCGAAAAATTGAAAAACAGAACATGTAAAACCAGGAAGTCGAAAAATCGAAAGATTAAGAAATCTTGAAAAATTAAAATATCAAAAGATTGAAAAATCTAAAATTTAAAAACCCAAAAATTGAAAAATCGGAAAAATAAAAAGATAGACACATCGAAAAACCCAGAAGTCAAAAATAGAAAAGCCAAAGAATTGAAATATTGAAAAATCCTAAAACAAAATATCTAAAAACTGAAAAATCGAAAAATCAAAAAAGTGAAGTCAAAAACAGGAACCTTAAAAATCGAAAAATTGAAAATCAAAAACCTGAAAAATCAAAAAATTAAAGAATTGAAAAACAGGAAAATCGAAACACTCGAAAGTCAAGAAATGGAAAAATCAAAACATCGATTAATTGAAAAATCGAAAAATTGAGAGGAAAAAGCAAATTTGAAAAATAAAAAAATTGAAAATTTGACAAAATGACAATTGAAAAACAGAAAATCTAAAACCGGGAAGTCGAAAAATCAAAAGATTAAGAAATCGAAACATTTGAAGAATTCTAAAACTTGAAAAATTGAAGGAAGTATCGAAGAACTGAAATGAAAAATCGAGAAATCGAAAAATCTAAAATTTTAAAAATTAAAAAATCTAAAATTTAAAAATCGAAAAATTGAAAAATCGAAAAAGTAAAAAATCGACGCATCGAAAAATCCAGGAGGCAAAAATTAAAAAGTCGAAGAATCAAAATATTGAAAAATCCCAAAACTGAAATATCGAAAAACTGAAAAATGAAAGAAAAACCAAAAATGCGAATCTAAATCGGGAAATCAAAACTTTGAAAAATCGAAAAATTTAAAACGACAATCGAAAACAGAAAATCTAAAACCGGGAAGTCGAAAAATCGAAAGATTAAGCAATCGAAAAATTGAAAAATCGAAAAAGTAAAAAAATTCGACACATCGAAAACTCCAGAAGCCAAAAATCGAAAAGTCGAAGAATCAAAATTTTGAAAAATCCCAAAACTGAAACATCGAAAAACTGAAAAATGGAAGAAAAACTGAAAAATCGAAAACCTGAAAAATCCAAAAACTGAGAACCTAAAAAGTCGAAAAATTGAAACCTTAAAAAATAAAAAAATCAAATACCTGAAAATTCGAAAAATTAAAGAATTGAAGAACAGGAATATCCAAACCTTCAAAAGTCAAGAAATGGGAAAATCAAAACATTGATTAATTGAAGAATCGCAAAATTGATAGTTGATAAAAGTCGAAAAATCGATTGATTAAGTAATCAAAACATGTGAAAAATTCGAAAACTTGAAAAACTGAAATATCGAAGAACTGAAATGAAAAATCGAAAAATCGAAAAAACTAAAATACTAAAATTTTAAATATTGAAAAATTAAAATATCAAAAAACTGAAAAATCTAAAATTTAAAAATCGAAAAATTGAAAAAACGACAATTGAAAAACAGAACATCTAAAACCGGGAAGTCGAAAAATCGAGATTAAGAAATCGAAACATTTGAAAAATTGAAATATGGAAGAGCTGAAATGAAAAATCGAGAAATCGAAAAATCTACAATTTTAAATATTGAAAAATTAAAATACCAATAAATTGAGAAATCTAAAATTTAAAAATCGAAAAAGTAAAAAGTCGACACATCGAAAAATACAGAAATCAAAAATGGAAAAGTCCAAGAAAAATTGAAATTGAATTGAAAAATCCCAAAACTGAAATATCGAAAAACTGAAAAATTAAAGAAAAATTGACGAATCGAAAAACTGAAAAATCCCAAAACGGAGAATCTAAAGAATAAAAAAAATGAGAAGTCGGCAAATCAAAAAAGTGAAGTCGAAATATCGAAACCTGACAAAATAGAAAAATTGAAAAACCAAAAAACCTGAAAAATCAATTAATTGAAAAATCGATAGACTTTATAAAAGTCAAAAATTGAAAAATCGAAATATTTAAAAATCCCAAAACTGAAATATCGAAAAACTGAAAAATTCGAAAACTGAAATATCCAAAAACTGAGAACCTAAAAAGTCGAAAAATTGAGCAATAGAAAAATCCAAAAATGAAGTCGAAAAATTGAAACCTTAAAAAAATAAAAATCAAAAACCTGAAAAATTGAAAAACTAAAGAATTGAAGAACAGGAATTTCAAAATCCTCGAAAGTCAAGAAATGGGAAAATCAAAACGTCGATTAATTGCAAAATCGAAAAATTGACAGTTTATAAACGTCAAAATTGAAAAAACGACAATTGAAAAACAGAAAATCTAAAACCGGGAAGTCGAAAATTCGATTGATTAAGAAATCAAAACATTTGAAAAATTCGAAAACTTGAAAAACTGAAATGAAAAATCGATAAATCGAGAAATCTAAAATTTAAAATCGAAGAATTTTTTGTGGATTTTTAGACAGCTTTTTCAAAGTGAAATTTAGTGCATGTAGTTTATTCAAATTTTGACGGATTTTCGACTATTTTTGAAACTTAACAAACACATTTTCTTGTAGATTTCGACCTCCAGAAGTCACTTCCGGTCTCATACTTTCGATAACTCTAATTCTTTTTCCAAATTCGCCCGTTGAAATTTCCCAATTTTCTTAATTTTAAAATAATTTGTCTTTCAAACGGAATATTTTGAAAATATTGCTTCGGGACCGTAAAAATGCTACATTTTTGGAATCAGCATCTCGCAGACTTTTTTGTGAATTTTTAGATAACTTTTTCAAAATGAAATATAATTGTGTTTATTCAAATTTTGACTTATTTTCTACCATTTTTGAGACTTGGCTAAATACATTTTCTTGTTCGATTTCGGGGTCCAGAAGTCGCTCCGAGCATTTTTTGCATAATCGCCGATTGGAGTATCGCAATTTTTAATTTTTTTAAAAATTTGACGTTCAAACCGAATATTTTGAAAATCTGAAAAATCATAAAATTGAATAGAATAACAGAAAACCGAGAAATTGAAATATTGAGAAATTGAAAAATCCAAAAATTGAATGAATAGGAGTAAACTGAAAAGTCCTCAAACTTGAGAATTTGAAAGATAAAACAATAGAAAAATTGAAAAATCTAAAATATAAAAAAAGGAAAAATTGAAAATCCAAAAATAAAAAATCGAAAAACCAATAAAGCGAGGTCGAAAAATCGAAACTTTGAGAAGTGGGAAAATCAAAAATAGATTAATTGAGAAATCAGAAAACTGAAAATTTAACGTCAAAATTTAAAAAAGTGGAAAATTTAAATAATGAAGAACTGAAAAGTCAAAAAATCGAGAAATCGAAAAATCTAAAATTTAAAACATTTACAAACAATTAAAATATCGCAAAATTGAAGAATCGAGAAATCCAATTCAATTTAAAAAATTGAAAAATCGGAACATTGAAAAATTGGAAAATCCAGAAATTGAAAAGCTCAAAAGTAAAAAATCGAAAAACCGAGAAATCCAAAAATCGAAACATCGAAAAATTCTAAAGCTGAGACATCGAGTAATCGAAAAATCGGAGGATCGAGAAATTGAGGAGTCGTAAGCCGAAAAGGAAAGTTAAAAATTGAAAAATTGATAAATTGAGAAACTGAACAATCAAAACAACGAAACATCGGAATTCGATAAATTGAGAAATCAAAAAATTGAATAATCGAAAAATTTTAAAAAAGAAAAACTGGAAAATCGAAAATTAAAAATATAGAAGAATTGAAAACTCGAGATATCGAAAAACCTAGAATTTTAAAAAATGAAATATAAAAACATCGAAAAATTGTCGATTAATTGAAAAATCGAAAAATTGACAGTTTATAAACGTCAAATTTGAAAAATTGAAAATTTGAATAAACGACAATTGAAAAACAGAAAATCTAAAACCGGGAAGTCGAAAATTCGATTGATTAAGAAATCAAAACATTTGAAAAATTCGAAAACTTGAAAAACTGAAATATCGAAGAACTGAAACGAAAAATCGAAAAAACTGAAATTTTAAATATTGAAAAATTAAAATATCAAAAAACTGAAAAATCTAAAATTTAAAAACCGAAAAATTGGAAAAACGATAATTGAAAAACAGAAAAAAAGTTGATAAAAGTCAAAAATTGAAAAATCGAAATATTTAAAAGTCCCAAAACTGAAATATCGAAAAACTGAAAAATGAAAGAAAAACTGAAAAATCCGAAAACTGAAATATCCAAAAACTGGGAACCTAAAAAGTCGAAAAATTGAGCAATAGAAAAATCCAAAAAGTGAAGTCGAAAAACTGAAACCTTAAAAAAATAAAAATCAAAAACCAGAAAAATCGAAAAATTAAAGAATTGAAGAACAGGAATTTCAAAATCCTCGAAAGTCAAGAAATGGGAAAATCAAAACATCGATTAATTGAAAAATCGAGAAATTGACAGTTTATAAATGCCAAATTTGAAAAAAAGAAAAATCGAAAATTTGAAAAAACAACAATTATTAACAAACAGAAAATCTAAAACCGAGAAGTCGAAAAATCGATTGATTAAGAAATCAAAACATTTGAAAAATTTGAAAATTTGAAAAACTGAAATGATAAATCGAGAAATCGAAAATTTTAAATATTGAAAAATTAAAATATCAAAAAACTGAAAAATCTAAAATTTAAAAATCGAAAAATTGAAAAAACGACAATAGAAAATCTAAAACCGGGAAGTCGAAAAATCGAAAGATTAAGAAATCGAAACATTTGAAAAATTGAAATATGGAAGAGCTGAAATGAAAAATCGAGAAATCGAAAAATCAAAAATTTTAACACATTGAAAAATTAAAATACCAAAAAATTGAGAATTCTAAAATTTAAAAATCGAAAAAGTAAAAAGTCGACACATCGAAAAATTCAGAAGTCAAAAATGGACAAGTCGAAGAACAGAAATATTGAAAAATCCCAAAACTGAAATATCAAAAAACTGAAAAATGAAATAAAAACTGAAAAATCCCAAAACTGAAATGTCCAAAAACTGAGAAATTAAAAAACTGAAAAATTTAGAAATCGAAAAATCAAAAAAATGAAGTTGAAAAATCGAAACCTGAAAAAATAGAAAAATTGAAAAACCAAAAAACCTGAAAAATAAAGTAATTGAAAAATCGATAAATAATGAGTTTGTAGAACTCAAAAACTGAAAAATCCAAAATTGAATAGAAAAACTGAAAACCGAGAAATTGAAAAATTGAGAAATTGTAAAATCCAAAAATTGAAAAATAAATAGGTGTAAACTGAAAAGTCCCCAAACTAAAATTTCGAAAAACTGAGAATTCGAAAGAAGAAAGTCGAGGAATCCTCAACCGTCATTTAATTTAAACTATGACGCTTCTCTATTAATCTATGATACTACCAACCTATATATTGTTTAAAGAATAAATCGCGTGGTTAATGTCCCGACGTCGGTAGCCAACTCTAACGTGACTGGGTTTGATAAAAAGACACATTTAAAAATTCTTAAAAATTTAATCAACACAATAAAATCCTACACTTAATACATGTCTTTAAATTTAAGCCTTCAAACTAATCTTCTCTTCGTCAGTCCCTTTCTCCGTCCTCTCTTCCTTCTCCCCTCTTAGTTTCTTCTGGATATCCTCTAACGTTTTCCCCTTGGTCTCCGGTACAACGAAATAAATAAAAACTAACCCTATGACTGAACACACGCAGAATCCATAGAACGAAACGTGTAACCCAAACTCCACTTTCGTGATCTGTAGATACTTTGACGCGACGGTTGCCATCACACAAAAGTACACATCTGCCAAACACAAGGCAAACGCTTTCACGTTCGTGGGGAACAACTCCCCTAACATACAAATCGGAATCGACTGCATTCCTACTCCAAACATTATCACAAAAGAAATAAGACCTATCACAGCAACTATCGAGAACGAGCTGGTGTCTATGGAGGTTTCGTTCAAGATGTAGAAGTAAGTACCTTCGACGAAGAGGGCCAAAGCTGACCCTGCCATAGAGATGAGCAACAGCGGCCTGCGTCCGGCCTTGTCAACAATACTCGAAGAAATGATCGTCAGTACCAACTGCACCGCATAGTAGATCATCACGGCGTAGTGGTTCGAGATGTGATCTCCCGCAGCTGTGAAGATCTCGTGTGTGTAGAACGCTATAGCGGTGGTACCAGCGAGCTGCTGGAAGCCCCGAAGACCCAAAACAATAAACACAGCCTTCCTGTTACTCGCCAGTCGGTACAAATCCGCGAATTTGCCATTCCGTGACTTCTTCTCCGCCTGGATGGCGTTCCTCATCCGATTCAAGTCTTCGTCCACCTTCTTGCTACCTTTCAGTCTTTCCAAACTCTTCCGCGCCTGCTCCGTCTTGTCCTTCATCAACAAATAGTACGGACTTTCCGGCATCCAGAAGAACGTGACGAACAACAACGCAGGTACTATGGAAGAGATTAACGCAGTGGTTTTAATACTGAAGTACGATCCTATCACATTGATTAGGAGGAAGCCGGCGATCCAGTTGACGGAGCAGCTGGATCCGAGCAGTCCTCTGACTTTGGGGTCGGCGATTTCGCCGATGTACATAGGTAGAACGGTGAAGGTGATGCCTCCGGAGGCGCCGGCGATGAAGCGGGCTATGTACAAGAGGATGACGTTCTGGCAGAAGGCCACCATGATCCAGCCCACGAAGAAGGGGACGGCGGTGGCCAGCATGGTGTGCTTGCGGCCGAAGATGTCGACGATGGTGGCGGCGGTGAGCGAGCCGGCGATGGAGCCGATGAGGGGCATGACGGCCAGGGTGGAGCCCTCGTTTTCGTCGATGCAGAGGGTGCAGGTTTCGTTGTTGGTGAGCTGGGGGACGCTGGGGGAGGCCCAGCCGCAGTGCATGCCATCGCAGATGACAGCGAGGGTGCCTGGAAAGTGAACGATTCGGTCATTGATAAACCACAAATTACTCATAATATTGTGTACATTTTACGACAGATTTATTAATATAAGTTTGAGATAACGTTATCAAATTTTTGTGGGGGGATGCACAGATAAATTTTGATTAGCGATTTATCATGCGTACCACAAACATGTTGCGGTTTCAAGTTAATTAATTGTAAAAATAGTGTTGTTGCACAATTGATTTATTTTTTTCATCTCGACGTGAAAGGTAAAAATTGGTCGAAGATTATTTTGACAGAACTTACCTCACTCCTAAAGTATAGTCGAACAAATACAACTAGTCATCTTAAAAAAAAAAAAATTTAAAAAAAATATGCACCGTAAACCACAAGTTTACTATTGTGAATATTTTAGATTGATTCGGAAAAATTTTGAGATGACGTCATCAAGTTTTTTTAGAATGGAATAAATAGATAAATTTTGATTTACCATGTATTTACCATGCATTTGCAATTTTGTTTTGCGATTTTTCATTTTTCGGTTCAATGTTTCGATCTGTAATTTTTCTAGTTCCCAATTTTAAATTTTCAGATTTTTTAAATTTTAAATTTTCAGATTTTTCAAGTTTTAAACTTCCCAGTTTTTCGATTTTTAAATTTTGTTACATATTTTCAATTTCAATTGTATGGTTTAATTTTTCAGTTTCTCGATTTTCAATTTTACGACTTTGCGATTTTCCCAGATAGGTATTAGATTTTTAAAATTTTTGGTTTTTCGATGTTTCAATGTTACAACTTTTAGGTTTCACATTTTTGATTTTTCAATTTCTCGGTGTTTCGACAATTGTTTAATTTTTTCGATTATTCAATTTTTAGTTTTTTCGATTTTTTCCTATTTTTGAAATATTTTTTCCATTTTTACTTTCTTCATTCCAAATTTTTCGATTTTTAAATTTTTAGATGTTTTCATTTTTCCTTGTTTCCAGATTCGCTATTTTTCGTCTCAAGTTTTAATTTTAAGTTTTCCAATTTTTTTATTTTTTGTGCACTTTTCCGCCTTTTTTGCTGTTCTTTAGGCGCTTTTTAGTCGCTTTATGTGGCTTTTTTAAATTTTTTCGCCCATTTTCTAATTGCTATCGTGGCGTTTTTTTCTCACTTTATTTTGTCTACATTTTTTGACGTATTTTTTGTGGGGATATTTGTTATGTTTTTTGTTGTTTTTGTTCTTTTGTTATCTTTTTATTTCACTTTTTTTGTCGACTTATTTGTTACGTTTTTTGCCGTTTTTAAAACTTTTTTTTTTGTTCGCTTTAAATTCGCCTTGTATTAATCGCAGCTTTTTCGTTATGTAATTTTTGCTCCATTTGTTTTTCACTTTTTTTGTTGATTTTTCTCGTTGTATTTTGTTGTGATTTTTGTCGTTTTTTTTTTGTTGTGACTCTTGTGTCTTGTTGTTTTTTTTGTTGTTCTCTATTGTCTTTTTTTGCCATCTTTTTTTTGGTGGAATTTTTGTCGTTTTTGTGGATTTTTTTGTCCTTTTTAAATCGTTTTTAGCGTCTGTTCTGGTCGTGATTTCTGACACGGTTTTTCTGTTTTTTTTTTCTTCTTTTTTATACTTGTTTTTTATCGTATTTTTGGTGCATTTTTTAATGGCGTTTAATGGTGATTTTTTTGCAATTTTTCGATTTATCAATATTATAACCTTTTTTTTAATTTTTCGGTTTTTCGATTTTTTAGTGTTACAATTCTTAGGTTCTTCATTTTTGATTTTTCAATTTCTCGCTATTTCGGCCTTTCAGTTTTTCAATTTTTTCCGATTTTTGCTTATTTTTCCATTTTTCAAATGTTTTATTTTCGATTCTTCAATTTTTAATTTTTCGATTTTTTTCCGATTTTTGACTATTTCTACATTTTTATTTCTTCAGTTCAAGTTTTTTTTTCAATATTTTGATTTTCGATTTCTCGAATTTCAATTCTTAAACTTTTCGATGTTTCATTGTTGCAATTTTTCTATTTCCTAGTTTTTAATGTCTTCCGATTTTTGAACTATTCTTCCATTTTTACTTTCTCCAATTCAAATTTTTCAATTTTGCAATTTTCCGTCCCTCAATTTTTTAAATCTGTTTTTGGTGGTTTTATGTGGAGTTATTCGCCCATTTTTATTTGGAATAATTTTTTTCGTGTCGATTTTTTTTTCACTTTATTTCTTACGTTTTTTGCCGTTTTTAAAACAATTTTTGGTTCTCTTGAAAGCCGCATTTTTTTAGTTGCTGTTTTTTCATTATCTTAACTTTTCTCCCTTTATTTTTCCACGTTTTTTTGTTGTGATTTTTTCATTTTATTTTGTTGTGATTTTCGTCGTTTTTTTTATTGTGGCTCTTGTCGCTTTGTTGTTATACTTTACTGTCTTTTTTTTAATCGTTTGTTAGCGCCATTTTTTGTTATTTTATTTTTTCTCTCTTTTTTTGGTCGTGATTTCTGACAGGCTTTTTCGTTTTTTGTATGCTTGTTTTTGTATAATTTTTTTGCACTTTTTTAATGATGTGTTTTTGTTGTTTTTGTGATTTTTTTGCAATTTTTCGATTTTTCAAACATTTATTAGTTTTTTTTAATTTTTCGATTCTTCGATGTTTCAATGTTACAACTTCTAGGTTTTTCATTTTTGATTTTGCAATTTCTCGGTGCTTCTACTTTTCAATTGTTTAATTTTTCAGTTTTTCAAAATTTAGATTTTCGATTCTTCAGTTTTTAATTTTCTCGATTTTTTCCGATTTTTGACTATTTTCACTTTCTCCAATTCAAATTTTTCGATTTTTCAATTTTTGGATGTTTTAACTTTTCGTTGTTCTCAATTTTTCTATTTTTCGTCGCCCAATTTTTAACTTTTCAATGTTTCATTGTTGCAATTTTTCTATTTACTAATTTTTAATATTTTTGATTTTTTTCGATTTTTGAACTACATATTTTTCCATTTTAACTTTCTCCAATTCAAATTTTTTCATTTTTCAATTTTTAGATGTTTTAATTTTTTGTTGCTTCCAATTTTGCAATTTTTCGTCTCTGAATTTTTCATTGTTCGGTTTTTCAATTCATAAACTTTTCGATGTTTCACGTTGCAATTTTTCGAATTTTCCTATTTTTGAATTATTCTTCAATTTTTACTTTCTCGAATTAAAATGTTTCGATTGTTTGATTTTTAGTTTTAGTTTTTCGTTGTTCTTAATTTTGAGATTTTTCGTATCTCTATTTTTAATTTTTAGATTTTTTGATTTTTTGATTTTTCAATTTCTCGGTGTTTCTACTTTTCAATTGCGTAATTTTTCAGTTTTTCAAATTTTCGATTCTTCAAATTTTAATTTTTTCGATATTTTCCGATTTTTGACTATTTTTCCATTTTTACCTTCTCCAGTTAAAATTTTTCTATTTTTCAATGTTTAGATGTTTTAACGGTTCCTTGTTTTCAATTTTGCAATTTTTCGATTTTCAATTTCTTTAATTTTAATTCTTAAACTTTTCAATATTTCGTTGTTGCAATTTTTCTATTTTCCAAATTTTTGTTTGATTTTTCCCTATTTTTGAACTATTTTTCCATTTTTACTTTCACCAATTCAAATTTATCAATTTGTAGATGTTTTAATTTTTCGTTGCCCCAATTTTCAATTCTTCAATTTTTATTTTTTTAATTTTTTCCGATTTTTAACTATTTTTCCATTTTCACTTTCTCCAGTTCAAGTTTTTCGATTTTTCCATCTGCAGAAGTTTTAATTTTTCGATGTTTTCAATTTTGTTATTTTTCGTCTCCCAATTTTTCATTTTTAGTTTCTTTAATTTCAATTTTCAAACTTTTCAATATTTTATTGTTGCTATTTTTCTATTTCTTAATTTTTAATATTTTTGATTTTTTCCGATTTTTGAACTACATATTTTTACATTTTTACTTTTGCCAGTTCAAATTTTTTCATTTTTCAATTTTTAGATGTTTTAATTTTTGTTGCTTCCAATTTTTCGATTTCCAGATTTCCAATTTCTCGCATTGAATTCTTAAATTTTTCGATTTTTCAGTTTTTAGATATTTTAGCTTTTCGTTGTTTTTAATTCTGCGATTTTTCGTGTCTGTATTTTTAATTTTTAGATTTTTTAATTTTTCGGTTTATCGACGTTTCCATGTTACAACTTTTAGATTTTTCATTTTTGGTTTTTCAATTTCTCGTATTTCGACTTTTCTGTTGTTTAATTTTTCAGTTTTTCAAATTTTCTATTTTTGATTGTTCAATTTTTTTTTTTCGATTTTTTCCGACTTTTTACTATTTCTCCAGTTCAAATTTTTCGATTTTTCAATTTTTCGATGTTTTAACTTTTCGTTGTTTTCAATTTTTCGATCTCCAATTTCTTGAATTTCAATTTTTAAACTGAGATTAGATATTTTAGTTTTTCGTTGTTTTCAATTTCGCGATTTTTCGTCTCCCTATTTTTAATTTTTAGATTTTTTAATTTTTCGGTTTATCGATGTTTCAATGTTACAACTTTTAGATTTTTCATTCTTGGTTGTTCAATTTCTCGTATTTCGACTTTTCTATTGTTTAATTTTTCAGTTTTTCAAATTTTCGACTTTCGATTCTTTAATTTTAATTTTTTTAGACTTTTTCCGATTTTTTACTATTTCTCCAGTTCAAATTTTTCGATTTTTCAATTTTTCGATATTTTAACTTTTCGTTGTTTTCAATTTTTCGATCTTCAATTTCTTGAATTTCAATTTTTAAACTGAGATTAGATATTTTAGTTCTTCGTTGTTTTCAATTTCGCCATTTTTCGTCTCCCTATTAATAATTTTTAGATTTTTTAATTTTTCAATTTTCAATTCTTGAACTTTCGATATTTTATCTTTCTATTTTTCGGCTTTTCTCTTCTCAATTTCACACCTTTCAGTTTTTAACTGTAAAACGTTTTGCAAGATTTCAGATTTTATCTTTCTATTTTTCGGCTTTTCTTTTCTCAATTTCACACCTTTCAGTTTTTAACTGTAA